CCAGTTTAAATCATCTGATTAAACGAATTAATTTCCCTGATGCCACTGATGATGACATCTTGAGGTCGAAAAGCTTATGGCAATAGTGTCTATTACAGTGTTAATACTTGTTGGTGTTTACTCTATATTAGAATACAGTAGATCTATTGACTTTGGCGAGTGTTGAAACAATTGACTATCGATGTTGTTAATGTCAATTTTTCGATTTCCTCAGCCATTGACAGACTAACCACTGTAGTGGCTATTCAAAAGAATATTTCACGGAATATGAGAGAACCAGAACTCACTGCCTTAAGACCACAGCACGAACTTATTCGACTACAGGAAGGTACTGATGTGACGTCATTAGGAAGATTATCGTCAGGTCTTTTACCGCCGTCTAATTTATCAAATTTATTAGGACAAATTGCTTTGAAATTATCACACATTTGGACATACACACTGAACCGTTCTAAGGTTCAGGCCTTGGATGACCTCTGGCGGCCAGCATTTGAATTGTGCTTGGTCGGCCACGAGAGGATGATGGACCATCTAGATAACGTTCCAGTTCTAATTCCTCTATGTTCCCTTACGTCATTATTAGCCAATTAGCTGTTCTTCCTTCCCCCTCTCCCTGTCTCTGGCTAGGGAAGACGCGTGATCTGGACTGACCTAACGGTGGGTCTTTCTCTTCCGGTTCGACGGTCATAATGAACAGACGTGTGTAGAGTTATGTCTGGCACCAAAAATTGTCGGGGCCGTCAATTTTGGTTCAAACATAACTTAGCACGGTCATTATGATGGTTGACTGGATCTGCACCCTGTAAAATAGTTTATTTTCTTGTTGTGTTCATTATTTTTGTGTATAAATGAACTTGTAAGTATTGGTATGCTTGGGGTCGGGTGTGGCCCAATGTGAAACGTGTGTATTGTCATGTCGACTAGGATTGTATTTGTTTTTATTGCAGATATTAATCTTTTGTTTTGTGTGTAAATGAAAGTGTAATTGTCGTGTTTTCGTGAATGTATCGCGCCTGCAGACTGTTGCATAGAGTAGTATGGGATGCCCTGTGCGAGAATAGTGTCTATTACAGTGTTAATACTTGTTGGTGTTTACTCTATATTAGAATACAGTAGATCTATTGACTTTGGCGAGTGTTGAAACAATTGACTATCGATGTTGTTAATGTCAATTTTTCGATTTCCTCAGCCATTGACAGACTAACCACTGTAGTGGCTATTCAAAAGAATATTTCACGGAATATGAGAGAACCAGAACTCACTGCCTTAAGACCACAGCACGAACTTATTCGACTACAGGAAGGTACTGATGTGACGTCATTAGGAAGATTATCGTCAGGTCTTTTACCGCCGTCTAATTTATCAAATTTATTAGGACAAATTGCTTTGAAATTATCACACATTTGGACATACACACTGAACCGTTCTAAGGTTCAGGCCTTGGATGACCTCTGGCGGCCAGCATTTGAATTGTGCTTGGTCGGCCACGAGAGGATGATGGACCATCTAGATAACGTTCCAGTTCTAATTCCTCTATGTTCCCTTACGTCATTATTAGCCAATTAGCTGTTCTTCCTTCCCCCTCTCCCTGTCTCTGGCTAGGGAAGACGCGTGATCTGGACTGACCTAACGGTGGGTCTTTCTCTTCCGGTTCGACGGTCATAATGAACAGACGTGTGTAGAGTTATGTCTGGCACCAAAAATTGTCGGGGCCGTCAATTTTGGTTCAAACATAACTTAGCACGGTCATTATGATGGTTGACTGGATCTGCACCCTGTAAAATAGTTTATTTTCTTGTTGTGTTCATTATTTTTGTGTATAAATGAACTTGTAAGTATTGGTATGCTTGGGGTCGGGTGTGGCCCAATGTGAAACGTGTGTATTGTCATGTCGACTAGGATTGTATTTGTTTTTATTGCAGATATTAATCTTTTGTTTTGTGTGTAAATGAAAGTGTAATTGTCGTGTTTTCGTGAATGTATCGCGCCTGCAGACTGTTGCATAGAGTAGTATGGGATGCCCTGTGCGAGACTAGCAGCGCGATAAGACGGGGGAAACACCAGTTTGATCACGAGCTACTGCGTAGCGAAACACGTGATCCCAAAGCTTACGCCTGGTAGTGAGGCTAGTGGCTATCTTGGTCTCATGGGAGCGTGCGTCACGCCGAGACAAGATGAGTGTTTGAATCCTTGTGCGGTTCAAACGATGATTGATCAAAGGATGGATCTTGATCTTTCATGATTCTTCGCGGACCATAAGGTAAATAAGGTCGCGTAGAATAGTTGAAGCTTTGGAGGAAGTGTAATGTACGCATCGTCTTGTGATAAGAACGGGGTGTTGGGTGGGTGCGAGTGTTGTGTGTGTACGGATGTCTGTGTATTCATGTATGATGTGTAAGTCGAGGCTGGTTTGGTAGATGGCGAGGTAAAGTTTTTAACGGGTTGTGTAAGGAAACCCGAAACTGTGGAAGGTGCCATGGGGTACCTGGAGTTGTATTGGAAAGTGGCTAGTTTGAAATGTGTGATCACATTTAAAGCACTTCGCCAAGTAACAAGTGTGACGTCGTAGCGTAGTGTAGCGTGGCTACGGGAGGAAAACTACGGATGTGATGAAAGGAAGGTGATTAATAATTGAAGTTATTAATTTGCGGCCGGACTGGCGGCTGAAGGGACGTTTGCTAGTATTAAACAAATACTAGCGAACATTCAAATTTTAAGGGGGGCCTTATGTAGTATTCTGTTTAAATGGAGAATTGTTTCTCAATGATGTTGAAGGTGTGGCTGCCATCAAGTATGGACACACTTGGGCGTATGTTTGTGTAGCTTTAATATTATCTTCCGAAAGATTAATTGTATTCTTGTTTTGTAACACAGTTTTCTTTTCTTTTTTGTAATTGTTTTTTTTATCAATTTTTCACATTAAATTCATTTTTGTTTGTTTAACTTCAAAATTGATTGGGATTTAATTTTAATTGATTGTGATGTTCAACTGCCTTCAATGTTCCTTGGTTTCCGCACGAATATCTCGGGGCGTAGAATACACGACCAACCGAGTCAGCGAGTATTAGGTGGACCGGATGAGCTGATGGTTCATAAATGGTAGCAAATGGACCGGAGGAGGAGCAGCTATCGGTTCAACACGTAGAGATAAGTACCATAAATAATTTGGTTAAAAGGAGGCTTACCCTCCATTCATCCTTTATTATCGGAAAAGTTTATGGTGTGTAAACCTCATATCTCACGTCAACGGAATCGTCTTCACACAGAACATCCACGTCATTTCTAACCTTGAATTTATCAATACAACAGCAGGAACGTATTCAAATACATATTGACGTAACATCATTGGGAAGATTATCGTCAGTTCTTCTACCACCGTCTGACCTAATTTAAGAGGCCAAATTGCTCTGAAATTATCACGTGACGTTTCACTGATTACAAACACGGATGTAGATAACATGTATATCTCTTATGATATTGCGAAGGTACAAGCCTATGCTACAGAAAATTCAATTCGATTATTAGTACGCATTCCATTACGGGGCACTGATCGAGCAATGTCATTGTATAAGGTAGAACCACTACCCACCTTCTCTGCACTGCTGAATAGACCTATGCAACTGGAACCAGAAGTGAAATATTTCGCAGTGACGGAAAACAGACAACACTACTCACTGTTGCAGCAGGCAGACATTCAGGATTGTAAACATGGACTTCTGACTATTTGTGATGCTACATTTCCACTCATTCACAAACGAGTTGCCTTATATTTTGGGCAGAATGAAGTCGCTCACGACTTTTGTCGGAAACTTATATTAAGACCAAATTTTAGACCAGTTTGGATAAATTCCAAGGGGAAAATGCCTTTTTGGGTATATAGCTTGCCTACTTCGACCCGCGTAACAAAGACCTGTAAAATCAATGGAACGGGGGTGCGACATAGACCTACCTCGTCGTCTTTACGGCAAAGAGGTCTTTATAGACATGACATACAACCCCTGTTGTGCCGGAGCCCCTTTGCCGTGTATTTGCACCCCCGAGTAGGACTCGCTTCATAAATCTAGGAATTTCAGTGTTACGCAACATATAGGATGACTGAGAGGACGTCCGGAGACGGACTAAACCAACCACTCTTCCCACCGCATGAATCAGCGTCAAAGATCTGTGTTTCTCTTGGGAAATAAGGCAATACGTGACTGACCAATGAGAAACGCCGATTCCAAGGGCGGTTCTCTCGAACCACGTCACAGCTGCCCGTCATTTGATCCGTATAAATTTGCAGGATCTGTACTCAAAGGCACTAGAATCTGCTGCTCACAGCGGTGTGTGGTCTGTTGTTTGTTCAACTGTGACTGTAGATGAGGAACTTGGTCTGGTTTCGAGCTACATAACGGATGGAGGATTCGGATTCTCAATCTAGGGAATGTCACAACAAGGAAGTGTATTTTAAAATTAAATAATATTAACGTAGCTTTCATTCAGTAGGTCATATTGACCTGTACAATATAACACTCCACACCCGATAAGTTAAGAATTTTACAGTGGAACGCTGGAGGTTTATCTCGAGCGAAAAAGACAGAGCTGACAAGCAAACTAATCCAGACTTGCTTCTTTCGAGACCGTGATGCGACGGGACACGTCGGCACATCGACAGATACACAGAACTGCTGCAAACATTGGAACAGAGAAAATTATGAGATAGTACAGCTGCTTCATATTGTGATATTAATTAAAATAATTATTATATTTGTTTACCGTCAAATCAATAACGAACCTTGTTCCGAGATGGTAACACTTCTGGATCTCTCCTCTGACCACATCTGAAGCGTTTGCTATTTCATAAAATGGTATGTTTATTTGATATTATTTATTATTATATTATTTTATTATTTTAGTTCATTTTGTTTTCTATATATTCAATCATATTCCATTAATGTTTTCGAATCTTTTACTTCACAGACTGATATAAACATCAATAACACCACCTCAACAATAATGTTATATTAATAATTAATAACTTCCATAAAATATACTGAGAAAGATTATAAAATTGTAAAAACTATAAATAATTGTAATTTGAGTTTAAAAGTTTATAATTTACACCTGATGACGGTTTGATAAACCGAAACATGTTGTGAATGTTCAGATGTAAATCGAATGCTCGATATGGAACATAAGATGATATTTTTTAATCATTTTAATTATCTTATCTTACTATTTTATTGTGATTTGACGGTAAACAAATATAATAATTATTTTCAGAGAAAATTACTCAACGCACCACGCATTGGTTGACCTTAAAATATTGCAGAATCATCATAAAGCGACTTGAACCAGAATGCTCGCCCGCATGGCGGAATGGCAAGGAGTCGGAAGGAGGCCGCCCTGACGACAAGCTTAGAGGAAGTTGGCCCGATAACTGAAGAACTACTTCCGCAACAGGACGAAACACGTTCAAACCTAATCCCACGTCGAGAGAGTCTAGCCGAACTTCACGAGCTAAGTAAACACGCGGATTTGCCGACGGGGACTGGAAATAACGAACTGAGGTTCACACGACCGGGACTTGACAACTTCCAACGTCCCGAGATGAACTCAGATCCTTTGAGGAAGCTGTGGAAGTTGACAGTGCAGGGCAGACTCTTGGCAGAATTCATAAACTGGTTGCAGTCTTTGGCGTGTCAGTGAGGAGAGGTTGTAGTTCCGTGATCTACCGTGGCGTGGCGGTACTACAAAGACCCAGGATTGGAACAGTTGTAGCCAGGGCCCTTAGTGGTGACTACAGAAATAGTAGCTGGAGTGTAACAAATACGTTTTGGTGGCAATGTCTTCATTATCGTCCTTAAGTTAGGGTAAGTAGCCGAATAAATGTAAAATATGAACGATGCCCACTCTGCATTACGAAACGTCGTGTTAATTTAAAGAGCAGATAGGGAAATTAAGTTCCTACGGGGTCTTAGGATACTGCATGAAGAGTTGAGCTGTAGCTACGGTGGCGAGCGGGCGTTTCTGCAGCTCGAGGGAGGATGGGCTTTACGGTCGAAAGCTACCGGACCAGAATCGGCGCGTTTGCAGCAAGGAGATTGAGGATGCACTCGGAAGGAAGTGTAGAAGGGAGCTTATTCCCTATTTACGGGATGCTAAGAGAGGACACGGCATTTTTGGAGAAAAATAAACTGGTGGTGGACGGGCGGACCTACGACCTGCAATACTTGGCAAGGAATATGCAACTGGGAACGCGGGACCGGATGCCAATACCCAGCAAAGGAGCGCGGGTACACGGGCCGAAAGTATGCACGCGGAGCCGGGCGGCAGGGAGAGACCAGCTGATCGCGCGCAAGACAATGGCTTGTCAACTGTACCACGGGTCTGCAGACAATACAACCTGAGGAGCTGGCTCACGAAGCCGAGTGACGCGTATGGCTACAGATGCCTTGAACATGGCCGTCGTAGCAACGAATGCTGACCAGACAGAGAAAAATTCGCTACCAGAAGATAGGGGACGCATTAAAAAGTTGTTCGCGGTACGATTCAGCCGTGGGCGTGCTCCTAGTCAATTTCACGGGGGCCCTGAGAAAAACCTAATGGAGGTGGCCGGAGCTCCAGCCCATTAGGTCAAAATATCAGGGATAGAGCAGGAACTCGCTCCTTCCGGACTTCTGCAGGAGGGGAAGGCGGCAGGGCCGAAGAACGACCACAGGGAGGGCTTGCTGGACAAAATATACGAAATTTTCGTCGGGGACGAAAGGGGGGCCCCCCCAGGGTGAGCCCAAACGCTACAGGGAAAACGAACTACACAACGCCATCCTACCCTAAGTGAAGCAGCGCCGTCAACGAGAGGGTTAATGGCAGTAGAAACAGAGGGAGGATTCCATACTTAATTTTTTGTCTATCCTGACGTTTCCCTGGAACCCCTGCTAAGCGATTTATAAATGCTGCTTAAAGTTTTCTTCCGTGTGCTCTTTCGGAGTATCTCCGTTTTGAAACGTCCGCTGACACAGATTTCAAAGAGAGAGAAAAAGAAATGTTTCGGGATGGACATCCCAGGACATGCGACATGGACGCTGTGGTCTTGATACCTCGTCACCAACGATGATTCAAGGTTCGCAAAGAGGAACTACACAGAGAAGAGGCTGTGCAGACATACAGGGTGAATTATATGAAATGAAGTGTGCAACCCCGTTATTTACTAGCGGACTTAATACGTAGGACTGGAGATCTGTTTGAGAAAAGCACGCAGGGCCCGACGTTTACCGTGGCGTGGCGGTACTACAAAGACCCAGGATTGGAACAGTTGTAGCCAGGGCCCTTAGTGGTGACTACAGAAATAGTAGCTGGAGTGTAACAAATACGTTTTGGTGGCAATGTCTTCATTATCGTCCTTAAGTTAGGGTAAGTAGCCGAATAAATGTAAAATATGAACGATGCCCACTCTGCATTACGAAACGTCGTGTTAATTTAAAGAGCAGATAGGGAAATTAAGTTCCTACGGGGTCTTAGGATACTGCATGAAGAGTTGAGCTGTAGCTACGGTGGCGAGCGGGCGTTTCTGCAGCTCGAGGGAGGATGGGCTTTACGGTCGAAAGCTACCGGACCAGAATCGGCGCGTTTGCAGCAAGGAGATTGAGGATGCACTCGGAAGGAAGTGTAGAAGGGAGCTTATTCCCTATTTACGGGATGCTAAGAGAGGACACGGCATTTTTGGAGAAAAATAAACTGGTGGTGGACGGGCGGACCTACGACCTGCAATACTTGGCAAGGAATATGCAACTGGGAACGCGGGACCGGATGCCAATACCCAGCAAAGGAGCGCGGGTACACGGGCCGAAAGTATGCACGCGGAGCCGGGCGGCAGGGAGAGACCAGCTGATCGCGCGCAAGACAATGGCTTGTCAACTGTACCACGGGTCTGCAGACAATACAACCTGAGGAGCTGGCTCACGAAGCCGAGTGACGCGTATGGCTACAGATGCCTTGAACATGGCCGTCGTAGCAACGAATGCTGACCAGACAGAGAAAAATTCGCTACCAGAAGATAGGGGACGCATTAAAAAGTTGTTCGCGGTACGATTCAGCCGTGGGCGTGCTCCTAGTCAATTTCACGGGGGCCCTGAGAAAAACCTAATGGAGGTGGCCGGAGCTCCAGCCCATTAGGTCAAAATATCAGGGATAGAGCAGGAACTCGCTCCTTCCGGACTTCTGCAGGAGGGGAAGGCGGCAGGGCCGAAGAACGACCACAGGGAGGGCTTGCTGGACAAAATATACGAAATTTTCGTCGGGGACGAAAGGGGGGCCCCCCCAGGGTGAGCCCAAACGCTACAGGGAAAACGAACTACACAACGCCATCCTACCCTAAGTGAAGCAGCGCCGTCAACGAGAGGGTTAATGGCAGTAGAAACAGAGGGAGGATTCCATACTTAATTTTTTGTCTATCCTGACGTTTCCCTGGAACCCCTGCTAAGCGATTTATAAATGCTGCTTAAAGTTTTCTTCCGTGTGCTCTTTCGGAGTATCTCCGTTTTGAAACGTCCGCTGACACAGATTTCAAAGAGAGAGAAAAAGAAATGTTTCGGGATGGACATCCCAGGACATGCGACATGGACGCTGTGGTCTTGATACCTCGTCACCAACGATGATTCAAGGTTCGCAAAGAGGAACTACACAGAGAAGAGGCTGTGCAGACATACAGGGTGAATTATATGAAATGAAGTGTGCAACCCCGTTATTTACTAGCGGACTTAATACGTAGGACTGGAGATCTGTTTGAGAAAAGCACGCAGGGCCCGACGTTTATCACAAAGATCGTCACTGGTGATGAGTCATGGGTGTTCGCCTATGACCCGGAGACGAAGATGCAGTCATCCGAGTGGCACACAGAGTCGTCTCCCCGACCAAAGAAATCACGCCTCGTTCGATCCAAGGAAAAAGTGAGTCTCATGGTATTCTGACATCGACGGTGTGCTGCACCACGAGCTCGTACCGCCTGGACCAGACTGTTACGGGTCATTTCTACGTGCAAGTGTTGCGCGAAAGAATCGGCGTGACAAGTGGCAGGGTGGGTGCTTTCTGCCATCACGATAACGCACTGAGCCACACATCGCTGGTTGTGCAGCAATTCCTCGCCGAGAAAAGCATTCCCGATAACACCCAACCACCATACTCTCAGAATCCCAGCTATTCAAAACTTGGCCCCAAGGTATGACAAATGTCTCGATTCCGGTGGCGAATATGCTGAAAAATAGCTGGACACTTGCTGTATCTGTTGAAATAAATATTTCCGTGAAATTGTAACCGGCCCCAGGGAAACTTACTTTGTGGACGAGCCTCGTAAAAAGTATGAGGTAATTCTCGGCGAACGCGTAAGTCATTCAAACTATCCACCAATCATATTTCACTCTGCCGCCCCCCGGGCAGTTGTACTACGTTTATTAGTACAAAATAAGGTAAATCTCAAGCAGTATTTGTCGAGACGAGTATCTGGAAAGCCAACACTAACAAGCATGCTGTGCACTGTGGCCATCGTACGCGAGTATTATTTGCGTTTGTCACTAAAAGTCACTCAAGAATTATTACGAAGTTAATAAAGTACTTCTGAGAACTGGAACAGAGTATCAGATTAAATGTTTTAATTAAGTATAGGTTATAAGTATATGGGTTTGTGTTTCTT